CCCCGCCGCGGACGGGGAACGCCGCCGCCGAGCCGCGGGGCGGGCCCGGCCCGGCCCCCCTCCGGTTCCCTGCAGGCCTCCTGGTTAGAATGCGGTTGCTCCTGGCAGCGGCTGAGGCGGGCAAACGGCTGGCTCCCAGGTGAAACCCCACAGCGAACGGCCCGGAGCCCTGGGCAACGCGTTCCCACGCGTCCCTCAACACCCTCCTCCGCAGCATGCGAGACTCCCCTCCCGCTCCTTTACAGCCCATCCAACCCGCACGCAGGAAAAGTCAGCGGGCAACTGACAAGTTTCAACTCACCTTAAAGTCAGTAAATGACTCCAGTAAGCCAGCCCTGCCGCCCTCGCTTCCAGGGGACGATATAGAACACAAGGCAGCTAAGGCGCAGGCAGAGAAAGGGAAACATGAACAAAAGCCCATTACACATTATTTGCACCCCTTCAGCATTTTGCAGAACGGAAGCATAAACTGCAGAGAAGAACTGAGTATGAGGGCAGTTCTGCGACATACGTGATCATTCACTTCCCTCCATTAGTGAAGATGCATCGGAACGTGCGTTGTAATCACACTTGATCAAAAAGCAGCGATGGGACTCTGCCTCTTAAAAAGTCCTCGCAGCAGACTTGCTGACCTCGTTCTTTCCTGCACCCTTGCGACTGCACAAGCTGCGCTACACCAAATCACCACACAAGTACCATTTTTCTACTGGCACATCTACCAATTTTTAATTGCGTAGAAATTCTCCTTACAGGTACCAGCACAACAGCAGTTTCTTGCCAAAAGTACAGAAAACAAGGCCCACTTTCAGAAGTGGAAGCATACCCAATTTAAACACAAACTCCAGCTAGTGACAGGAGGAATTGGAGTCTCTCCGGCTGCTGCAGCTCCTTCTGAGGACAGCTCTTCATTAAACCACCTCTGTAAGGACCCGAGTACAAGCTTATGAAGTCCCAACTGAACACAGTCCAGTTACATTCAAGTACTGGAGAGCACAGCCGCGGAGTCACATACTGCTTAAATCCCTCAAGGGCAGCATTTGTGTATCTCGCCAGTCTGCATGCAGTTAGGAAGAACAGAGACACACACAACACATACTTTCAGCGCAAACTTCATGCAGTCTCTCAGACTGCAGCGGGTGAATTCCGGTCAGACACTGCAAAGACTGCTTTGGAACAAGCAACAAATTTTATTGCAAGAAAAGAAACAAACCCAGGTCATGATTTGAGACCTACGTCCCCGACAACCTCCGTTTTCTGTGGAGATCTTAGGTTAATCCTTTAAACTTTGAGTCATTCAATCAAACGTGATCCGAAAACTGCGCTCTTGCTCCTTGCGGCGGCTCTCGCAAACCTTTGTCACCTCTTCTACCTTCCTCTGCAACACGGCTGTGGGAGACACAAGGGGTTAATCTTACAATCACCCTAAAACACAACCTGCACAGTTCAGCCTGCAGAAGGAGAAAGAAAAACATTTTAACTTTGACGGTCACTCAGATTTCACAGCGCACAAAGCAGGATGAAAACCCAACACAAAGCACTGCTAACACTCCAAGGCAAAGAAAGAACATTGTCTAAAAAGTATTCTGAGGCATTCAGGGACTGGCAGGCAGAATCGGAAGAATCCTGGGACGTATTGTTGACACTGTTTGCCATGCCAGTTTGTTGCAGTTTCAGGGCACTGCATCAGAGTGCAGAGCAAACCCTCCCTGAACAGGAACCACTGGTCTGCAGCTTGAGGGAAAGCAATGGCTCTATAAACCAGTTTCCCCTACCCACCCCCCGCTATACTCGCTTTGAATTACCCACACTACAGGTGAACCACACAATCAGTTAGAAGTATATACATATTTTCTTGCAGCATTATCACACAGCCATAACAAGCTTTTAACTGTAAATACACAAAAGACAGTGCAATCGCACAGAAGAGCTGCAGAGCACTTGCAGCCACAACACACATCATCTGTTATTTGCAGATCACTGATTTGGAAATACGTAAGCCACTGATTGATCACCACCTTTGAATGCAGCAGGCATCGCAATACACAAAAACTCTTGGCACAAGCTAAAGCAGTTTCTAATTTCATTCCATGAAAGCTTATCAGAAGCTATTCAACAGCGCTACAACGTTATGTCAGCCTGTGGCTTGGAGATAGATAGTCGAGGTCAGGTTTTATCTCGTACAGCACGCCAAACCCAGAATCTTTCAGTAACACACTACGCAACACACTTCAGTTTGTCACTTTTCAAAAATTCACCATGCAAAAATAATTATGGCATAAAATGGCAGTCTGCTTCACTGTCTCACAGATCTCTCTCGCCCAACTCAGAATTCAGTTGTCACTACGAAACGAAGACTTTCTGGTTCTCTCAGGAAGAGGCAGAAGGTCAGAACAAGGCTCTGTCCAAACACTCCTTTCACTTGTGGAAGCAGCACCATCCCACATCCTTGTTCAGCAAGTCTATTTAATTGTGCCACAGTAGGTGAACAGTTGCACATAATTGTTTATCAAGTTAGACACGTTTACAGCCACTGTGTATGTGTATGCCTAGGAAAGATCACTGGCTGTTGTGAAACACAGCTGGAGGTATCCCACAGGAAACAAAACTGGTAACATTACCTACAGCACAGATGTCCTAGTTTTGCTTTGCAGGTTGTTGGGGTTTTTTTGTTATATAGAAAAAGAATGTTAACGAATGTGTTCTTTGCAGGCCTACTCAATTTAGTGATGGCAAGGGCTATGTGAAGGCTTACTTCAAAATGGCATTGTTTTCCCACTGGACCACTTTTACGTACATAGTAGTAACAGGAATTCTTCTCCTTGCTAAGGACCCCACGGAAAGAGAGGTACATTAACCTTTTTTAAAAACTGCAATTTCTTGGGCTTACTGCCTCTTTCTTGTTTGAAGGTGAACTGAAGAGGAACTGTTTCTTTAGATGTACATTTCCCAGCAAAGAGAATGAATCGTTATTAACTGATAAGACAATTTCTTCAGTACTGAATGACAGAGGAAAAAAATGGGTCTCCCTTCTAGGAAAATTTAAAGGAAACAGGTTGCTATTTTCACACACATTCTGTAAAGTCAGAATTCTGATGCCACAGGAGCTGCACCAGATTTCCCAATACAGGCATGTTTGCAATGCGGAAGTTAGCACCTATGTTCCGGAAGAAAAAGCCAAATTAAATCCTGACCTAAGCCAATAATACTAGTTAAACATGGATAGCAGTATGCCTGCTTTCACCCAAGAAGTACACCAGGTGTAAGCACTTTCACAGCACAGCAGCCAGACAGTGCAATTTGGTGCTGGTGAGAGCAGCACTGCTTTATTCTGCCATGCCCCCGTGTGGCTGCTAACATCAGTTAAAATCAAAACCTGTGGAATGCAGAATTCTTGAATCCCTCACAAGGAGGCACTCCCTGCGAGAAAAGTTCCTTTTTTCTGCTTGTTTTCAGTATGGCACCATGGTATACTTGTTAAGGACAAAGCCAACACAAGAAACAACAGTAACTACGCTATCAAGTTTTCACTGTCGAGTGCATCTGCTGCTCTGCACTACATCTCAAGTTACTGCTACTGTGAAATTTCCACACCATGACTCCAGAGTTACCATGCCTGCAGATAAATGCATGCTGCTCAGGCTTACCTGGATGTGGCTTTCCTGTTGTGGCGGGCAGGATGATAACATTAAACACATACACCCTCACCAATTTTCCTATTCCAAAGGGAAACCCCACAACATTTTAGAAGTTGAAATATTTAACCTTAGTCTGATAGAACAAAGCATAAGGTTTTCAAGTCCTCTGCTTTGCACTGATGCATTTCAAGCACTGCTTTTTTGTAAAACATTAGCAGTTGCCCAGAATTACTTCTCAGCAGAGGCCTTTAATGCACATCAGGGGAATTCAAGCACAGAAGGGACTGTGCCAATGAAAGTGATGAGGAGAAGATTCCTCAGGGACCTTCAGGAATTCAGTTATGTTCAAATCACACTTGCACACATGCTACATGCTTTCTGTTTACACTCCCCAAAAGATGCAAGATGACTCTCACCTGAGTTCTGCTCAATCCACTGCAACGAATCCATGTGCGCATTCAAAATTTTACAGATCTGCTGAAGCTGAGTAGAAAGGGAAGGAGCAAGTCATTTGTTACACTACATAAAAACTAAGCACAGTAAAAGACAGCCTGCCTGTCCGTCCCTTTAGAACACGATGCATTCAAATTTCTCATACGTAGAGCTCCGCTAACTTAGCAGCCAATATCCCAGGGAAGTCTGTGCAGCAACTCTGTTGCTTTTCTCCTCCTTACCATCAGGAAAACAGACTGGTTTAGAGTATATGCCTCTCGCTTAGGCTTATTCCAGTTCAGACCTAGGAACCACCACATTAATCACCTTAGGCTTGAGGTGGCAAAAGTTAAAAAGAATGGGAAAAAACCTCCATCTGCAATACTGATGGGAAATTTTTACGGAAAAAGAGCATCTCAGTAAAGCCAGAAGGAGTGTCAAGACCAATTTAATACATATCAGAAAGAGATGGTAATTCAGATCTTGTTTTCATGAGGATAGAAAAGTAGCATAAGGAAAAAGAATCAGCAGTTATGGAGGGCAGTCTGAACAGAATTTAGATTTGCCCAAAGAAAGATGCAAGCGGTGCAGCAGGTAGCCAGATCAAAGCAAACAAACAAGTTGTAATCTACATAAAATTAGACAACAAGCAAATAACCAGAGTTCATACCAGAATGAGATACTTTGAAAACCATTAAGAGAACTGCAGAGTAAGTACATGAGTCAGGCTGGCTTGTATTGTGTTACA